GAGAGAGAGTTGGGGGTGGGGGGTGGGGGGTGGGAACAGGAAAGGTCCAAGAGGTCCAACATCACTATGACTTGCAAGTAAGTTTTACTCCATGCAAGATCAATATTTACATAGTTTATATAGTTTATCAAATATGAAGTTCACAGTAGAAAAACGCAGTCCTTTACCCATAAACGACACACTCACACATATTGAGCTCATGCAATTAAAGGAACTGTCTTCATTTGACACATTTATCTCTGCTGATTATCTGTGCTGCTATAGTCAGTATTTTTATCAGGCTTCTCACTTTCTGAATTTGAGAAGTCAGGACTCGAAATGGCACTCGAAGCACTGTTGTGCGAAATCTCTGTGTGATGTCTACAAAGCTATGACTCTTGACAATTCAATAACTAGTAAATAATTTAAAAAGTCTATTTACAATGTAGATTTAATGTAAATCCCAAGACTAAACTAAACCTAAAGTGACTTACCAACCAGATGCCATAAAAAGAAAAAAAATGGCGAGCTTTCTTCAGGTATTATAGATGGATGGATGATACCATCTCTATTTCATAGAAAAACTATGAGGTAAGTTAAAGTTCACATTATCTGAAAAGGATAAGGATGTGACTTTCATTTGACACATTTATTTCTGCACACAGTCTGAGTGCGCACAAGCAATATCGGAGTGAGAGGACAGGCAGTTCATTTGTGGGACATTCTACCAGAAACGTACATTTCCACTTCTCAAAATCTTGGGTGAAATCTTATTCTTAAATCTGAACGTTGAGTCATATGGAGGACATGTTAATCTATATGAAACACATATCATGCCATCTCAGCATGTTTTTATGATTGAAATAAATACATTTTTATACGCATTTCACCCCTAAAATGTCAGGCCCTGTCACAGACAAATTTGTATATGTTAGAATGGTTTCCTAATGAATTTCTTTGATACAAATAGCATTTTCTTATTGGTCACATGTCCCTGATTGTATCTAACATGGTTTTGTAATTTCTATAAGGAATATAAGCAACTTTTCGGTCAACTGTAGTAAACAAAATCACAGAATACCCCGCCAGGCACTCGTATAGTTGTAAAAAAACTGCCTTTACATAGGAGATTTTTTCAAAAACATAGTAGTGGATATATACTCCAACCTTCATCTACACAGTTACAGAGATTAATTCATCAATATTTCCTCAAATATGACATTTTTATAACATAATTTCCTGTTATTTAAGTTTTGATAAGCATTCCTATTTTAAATTATTATTATAATTTTAATGTTAATGTAATATTAGACTATGGTAAAGTTCAGACAAGGACATATAATAAATTCATTTTATTTCAATATAAAAACATATTTCATTTAACAATTCATTAAAATTCCATTTAACAATAACATGGCCAGATACAATAAAAATAAACAACTAGAATTGCACAAAACGCAGACAGGAGTGAAAACAAAATTGTAATGGTACTACTAATATGTTAAAATTAATTTAACAATAACAATTACCAACTTGAATGGCACAAACTCAGACAGGAGTGAAAACAATAACCCTGTGTTGTGCTACGCATACACGGGTGTAATAAATATAAATATAACTTCATAAATTATATATAAAGTATATTTTACTATGATACAGCAAATGTACAGACATTTAACTGAATAGCACAAAGTAAAGTAACTGTGGTACCACATAATATTACGGCTCAGTAATAACAGGGCAATACTATGGTAATATCTGCATTATTACTTAGGAAATTACATGGTAATAACGGAAATTGCATGTAATTTCCTAGGTAATAATGTAGATATTACCATGGTATCTGTATGAATTGGAATAATTACAGTCTTCATTACATAAAGCTTATATAGATGACAATTACATCTATATATGAAGAGTTTATTTGCAAAAACAGATACCTCCGTTTCTTGAAATTTTCAAAAATCATGTTTTTTATTATGTAATCATGTTTTTATTGTGTTTTATTGTGTTAGTTAGCTGTAATTATTAGTTATTTTTTAAATATAATTAATATACAAAGTGCAGTGCTATATAGGCCTAGGTAAAAGAGGGATCAAATTAAAAAAATCTGTCGATGAGCATAAAAAGCTTCAGATTTACAGTGTAATGTCTATTTATTCAAATAATGTTTTACATACGTTAAATGCGGGCATGCGTTAAATACATATTATATGCAATAAAGGTAATAAAAAACAACAATGCCATTAATTTGTAAGGCCGTGTCACAGGACTGTCAGGCCCCGTCACACAGGGATGTGACAGGGCCTGACGGTCGGCCATTTTAAACTGCCATTACTCAGCCTGCTAGCATGCTAGCATAAAAACTGTTAACATGCAATCAAGGAACTTCAACTTTAACTTTTTTAGACATGTTTTGGATTTAAAAGATTTTCATTATTTTCTGGGATGTTTTACCATGACAGGGCCTGACCCTTTAGCTCGTCCTCCTCAAAAAAAACTTACAAAAACAAGCTTAAAATCATACAATTCAATGACAGAACTCGCCCCTGGATCAATGTCAGCTTCACCTCAGTCAAATTATGTCACTTCTTTTGAGTCATACCTTTAAAGGGGTCATATGATGCGATTTCAAGTTTTCCTTTCTCTTTGGAGTGTTACAAGCTCTTGGTGCATAAAGAAGATCTGTAAAGTTGCAAAGACTAAAGTCTCAAATCCAAAGAGATTTTGGATTTGCCTCGTTCTAACACGCCCCCACATATCTACGTCACTATGTGACAATATTAGCATAATGCTGCCCAAATGTGCACGCAAAGAAAGAAGGCATGGTTTCAGGAACAGCAGTCGTGTTGATGCAGCCATGTCAGGGAGACGGTGTGTGTTTCAGTGCGAAAGCACTTTATTTGGCCTTCCGGAAGTAGATGCAATTAGGAATCATTGGTTAAGATTTATTTACAACAGAACAAGCCAAGCACATACGGACACTGACAATACAGAAATCAAACTAAATGGGCATCCACAACAGAATTGAAGTGGTAATCAAAATAAATGTTCTTACTTATTGAATAAAACATCTTACAGCTGAAAATATCAGTATTCAAATTTCTCAAGATTGTATTCATTTCCTGTCCAGTGACTGTTAAATTCTCTATTTCCAGGTTTTTCACGACCATCATTCAGGTACTGATTGTGATGCTCTCAACTTCTTTTAGCTCTTCTGGATCTGATGTCATACACCACTATGGTAACAGTAGCCACGCCCACCACAGCAGAGATGACCAATCGAATCACAGCTTCAGTGAAACCGCAACAGTGAACGGAGTCTGAGGACAAAAAAGAGGTTTTAATGAGAAGCTGCAACAAATTACAAGAGGGTCTGGCTGCAGCCTTGCACTTGCACTCTCAGACTTGCACTCTCAGACACTTGCGCTTCCACTAGCGACGTCACTTGCGATCTTTATTTTTTATTTTGTTCTATTTTTTATTACTTTTTGTTTGAATCTCTCAACATTTTACAACAGTAGGCAGGTGGTGAAGACAAGAAGGAACTAAATTACGAAGTCACTTGCAATCGCTACTTGCACTCTCCGCTACCTGCAACGTCACTTGCAATCGACACAAATCGTGCGTGTTGCCAATGGAGACAAGACGCTGTGGTGGTGATTTAATGATTAAAACTAATTTAGTACTATAACATACAGGGTCCTGCAAGAAAAAGACAAGACCCGCAAATCCGTGACCAGAACAGCAGAATATGAACGCAATGCACAAAGTCTCTCGTTAAGCGTTTTCCTCCTGGAGAAAAACATAAACACTTAACATGGCTTAAAATTGAACTTAATGTATCTTAATACATTACGCCATATTAAGTGTTTATGTTTTTCTACAGGAGGAAAACGCTTACCGCGAGACTGTGCATTGCGTTCATATTCTGCTGTTCTGGTCATGGATTTGCGGGTATTGTCTTTTTCTTGCAGGACCCTGTATGTTATAGGACATTCAGACTCTGTAATTGACAGGAGACGAATGCGTGTCAAACTCACTGCCGGAGCGGAGAGAGACGCAGCTTGTATCAGTGTATATTTGGTAGATACTGTGGAAAATGAGTAATGGAACCGTGTCAGATATTTCAGTATCGGTATCAAAATATAGATATTTATGATAATGTAACAGAGGCCAGTGAGTAGGTGGAGAGGGGTTACATTGGTGCCGTGACCCGGATGGGAGTGAGGATTAGTGGGGTGAGTGTAATGGAGGCCAGCGAGTAGGTGCTGTGCAGGTAAACCTCACTCCCCTGATCTCAAGAGACGCACTAGCGACTGACGCT